TTAAAGATTTTCTTTAAAGACGATGCTGAAAGCGTATCTTGAATTTCATGCATGTTTAACTTACGAGTACTTTTCAGGAAGGGGGGAGAAAAAGGAAAAATAGCGTACAACTAAGTCCACAATTTATGACAGTACAAGAGTAAACAGAACAAGTCTTGACATGAAAGAAAATGAGAGATTATTCTGCAGGGGACCTGGATTATGTCATTTTTTTTGCTGTACAGATGTACCTGGAGACAAGACTCAATGTCTTAGACCTTGTATAAGTGTAATTGATGAGTGAGCCTTGCCAAAATCCTGTGCCATTTTCCTGCAACTGAATCTCCAGGACAAGAATGAGCCATCGTGAAAATTTTCAAACCTGGTGCATCTGTTTCACTTGCATTTTAGCAATTGGATACAAAGCAAGTCACACACAGTATTTTTTGCTGGAACCCCCACTGAGTAGCTATTCATTATATTATTTTTTGTCGTGTTTTCTGTGTGTTCTCAGTGTTCATGCATTTGCTCAAAAGTCCAAATCACATCCTGATGAGGGACAAATGTCCTCATTTCTCTCTAGTTTGCATTTTAATGTCACCTTTGTGAAATTACTCAGTTTCACAATGTTGCAGGCCCTTAAGAGGGTGTTAATCAGCAGACCCAAAGTATGGAGAGGCAGCACTGTGAGCAGCCACACATTTGTGTCCACAATTTCATGTCCTGCATTTTTGTATTTCAGCCTTTGGTTACCTGCATCTGAAGCATAACTGCAAAGAGGTTTCAAGTGATCATCATTCTTGAAACAAGAACCCTAACTCTAAGTTGGAAATGGTGGTCGTGCCTGGAAATGCTCATTCTCACAGCTTGCCTACCATCACACAAGAATTCCTTAGCAGTAGAGAAGCCCTTTCCCTGGAATGCCGCTTGACTAGCTGAACCGTTAAGCCCGCCTCTCTGGAATCGGGCATTTCCATCAACTTAAAAAATACGTCAAGTAGCCTTTTCTATACGCTTCTGATTCCTCCCAAGAGCTAGCTCACCCTGGGTGATGAGACAGTGCAATGATTAAAAAGAAACAAAACAAAACAAATCATGTTGTGTGACAGTGTCTAAAATCCCATGCTTTGAACCTCTTTACCCACAAGGCCTTTGCTTCAGAAGAGGGATAAGCTGTCAGGGTTTATTCACAATGCTGAGATTTGGGAATCTCTTGAGGCCTCTGCAGGTGAGATCTTTGCTTTCTTCTGGTTCCCCTGAAGTTTACCTCTTTTTTTTTTTCCTGCCCCTGGCCTTGCCCAGTCTGTTCTGTCCAAAGTCCTGCCTAGGCACCTCACCCCCAAGTGTTCCTGCAGCGGCTGGATCACATCAGGTCAGGCCCTGTGGTCACCCATGGCTTAGCTCGTACGCCTGTTTGTGGGGTGGCACGGCTCCCATCCAGTCTGTGTGCCCAGCTCTCCTTTCTGGAGAAGCAGAGCAGAGGGGGGCTGGTGTATGCCCAGGTTTCAGGCCTCGGAGGAGCCGCAAGGGAGCCCCCAGTCCTGTCCTGGGAATTCAGACACGCCAGCCCATCTCCAGTGCTGTTGTGCCCAGCACCCGCTTCTAAACCCCACCTGCTTTCGCATGTGTTTCCTTCTGTCCTCTTGCACAGATGCTTTTGGCTGTCATAAGGTGACTTCTTGTCAGCTCTATCATTCTTGCCCACCTTCACTCATCTTATGACCTTCCTGACCACATGCCTGCCCATGTCCAGCTCCCACCTTTCCACATCCACCTTAACCAGGCACAGCTAGAAACATCTTCCTTTGATTTTCCTGGGCTCTGCCCAACTGGCCTCCTTATGCCTCTGCTCTAACCACAAGCCTTATGTTCTTGTTCTCTGGACGCCCCTCCCGTCCTGGCTCTCCAGCAGACCCCTTTGGTGGCCCGGCGAGGCCCCACTGCCACGCTCACTCCAGGCACCTCTCGTCCCTCCAGCCTTCGGCTGAGCACAAAGCCCTGCTGTAGAGAATGGGAGGGGCAACTTTTCCCAGGAAAAATGATTCAGTATTTTACTACGGGAAAACATCCTCTTTTCCCTGATTCTATTCTCAATTGGGCCAAATCATTTAGGCTGATTGTTTTTCCATGCAGATGCACAAAACCACCACCTTGCTACAGTTAACTTGTAATGGAAAATGCCAGGAGAAATATCTGAAGCTAGGTAATGTTTAAAAGAACAGAAACATATTCCAGTAAGAGAAGAATCAGGTAATGCCA